ATATATGGAAACATCAAAGAGACACAGTGGATAGAGACTTAGGAAATCTCATCTTCCTGAGTTCAAATCTGGTCTCAGATACTTACTAGCTGGATGACCTTGGGCAAGTGACTTTAATCTGCCTACCTCAGTTTTCTCAGTTGTAAAATGGCACTAATAATAACACCCATCCTTCAGGGTTGTTGTGAGGGTTAAATGAGTTAAGATTTATAAAGTGCTTAGCACAGTTCCTGACACTTAATAAGGTCTTGATAAATGATTATTTTATTCCTTCCTAATAATAAATGCTTCTTAACTGACTTACCTCCCAAAATAGTTTGACCGTAATGTGTGGGATGCCACTCAAATTAAAAAACACGCTTAGAGGTTTTTTAAGGAGAAACAGAAAGTTAATTTATTATTTCAAATCTCGAGATTCAGGTGTCCCTCCACCAGTATGATCTGATGAGGGGAGACAGAGACAGAAAAAAACCAACCAGATTAAATAGCCCTAACGGGCAAATCCCCTCCCACCAGCTGTCCATTATTCGGCTCACAATCTCATACACCAGACTCTAATTTAGAACAAAGGACATAGTATATACATCTCTGTATTTCTTAGTTTGCTGAGATAATGTCAAAGAAGCAACTAAAAATGTGCAGTCAAGCCAGACCTTATGCTGTGGAGCCAGGTCACCATGACAGAAATATAGCTTACAGATGTAACAACAAAGTGCAGGGGGGAGGTTTCAGACTTTAACTACTGATATACATTGTACTGTGGAGCCAGGTCACCATGACAGAAATATAGCTTACAGATGTAAAAACAAAGTGCCGGGGGGGGGGGGGGGTTCAGACTTTAACTACTCATATGGCACTAGAAAAAAAGGAACTTGCAGAAATCTATACTTAACCCTATCCTGTCTCCTGAACTTATTTCCAAATTTAGGATAGTCTTATCCCAAACCTTAATTACACTGAGAAGTCTTCACTGAGACATCCCATTCAGCAATGATTTTATAATTCAGTATGGCTGTTTTTTCTTAAAGCTAGATGATAGACGAATACAGCACACAATACATTTCATCAGTCCAACATTCTGAACACTTAGCCTGTTTACATTTCCTGAGAGATATATTAAAAATACATAATGACAGATTTTGCACCAAAATATTTTAGAATCAAGAGTCAATCCATTGTAATTATATCTGTCATGAATGATTTTCACAAATGAAATAACAACACTTAGTAAAAATTTCTTTAAAAAACAAGTCCAGTAATTTTAATCATGGAATCAAATAACAGTCATAACTTCATATGACAACTACATACACTAGGTAAGAGTTACATTGCAGATAAAGACACTTCTTTTTACATAAAATATATCCATTTTCTAAGGGAAAAAAAATGATTGCATCATAAAATGCTAGCAGACAGCCTGTTTGTCTAGATCTGAATCATCCTCTGCCCCCATTTAAACCTCTCCTCAGGTCCTTTCACATGACAAGTAGAGAATTGTTTCTATAACTTTCCATCAGGAATTGAGGCTAAAAGAGGTATATCAGTCAGTCCACTTATGAAAGCATGAGTGGCAGACCAATCTTTGCTTAATTTCTGAATTCCAAATTCCATAATCTCACCTGAGACCTCTATTAAAGAGAGTTTACCTGGGTTTATGAATAATCCTTACTATTGATGGGGTTGGGATCTGGACCCCAGAAAGGAAAAACCCTGGACTTTCCCACTTGGCCAAATCTCTGGATTTCCCCTGAGGCTATAATCCCATTAACTGGCCTTTTGTTATCACCTACACCCAGTCTCCCAATTCAGTTACCTGAACCTAGCCTAGCCCTCCATTGTCTTACCTCCTCATGGCCCCAAGCCACTTCCCACCATTAATCTCTCATTTTCCTTTGGCCACCTGTTCCAGGTCCCAGGCTTTCTGTTCACCCCAGTTTACTGGCCACTCCCATCTAGAGCTTCCTGAAACCCCTCCTTCAGTCACCCCAAACTACTTGGCCACTCCTAGATCCCTCCCACAGTCTTTCTGTATATAAGGTCCATCTTGTCTCCATTAAAGGCCTTAGATTTATACAGTCTAGCCAACACTTTTACAGGTGCTCAGATTCCTTAAGAGTCTGGCTAATATGACAGATCTTTCATAAACCTTATCTCTGTCTGCAAGAAGGCTTGGATCAAATTCATTCCGGCAGGACCCAAACTCTAGACCTCACCATAACTATATTCTGAGGATCACAGTTCCAATAATCAGCTACTTCAATGGGATGCTAAGTTCAATGCTGAGCAAGAAACAGGATATTTAGGATGGGGACTCTTTGCAAGCTTATTATATAAAATGTTTTTACATTACATATGTAAGGATGGGCTGAAATTTTCAGCTCTGAAATCTTTTGATGGAATCAGATAACACAACTTGAATGTGAACAGCTCACATGCACTTCCTTGAATCAATCAAAGCCATCCTGTGGGAGACAGCATCAAGGCCCAAAGCAATTTATTTAAATTGTAGGGGCAGCTGGGTGGCCCAGAAGATAAAGTGCTGGATCTTGAATCAGAAATACCTGAGTTCAAATGTGGCTTCAGACACTCACTAGCTGTGTTTGCCTCAGTTTCCTCATCTGGAAAATGGAGATAATAATAGCACCTAACTCCCAGAGTTGTTGTGAGTAGCAAATTAGATTGCAATTGCAAAGCACTTAGCACAGTGCCTGGTACATAGCAAATACTGTATAAATATTAGCTATTAATATTATAAAAGAAAGAAGCTGTCTCAGAACTGAGAGAGTTTCTGACAGCCTAGATTTGGGAGGTTGGAGCAAGCATGGCATTTCTGTACACCTTTGAGGAACAAAAGAAGGACTGAGCTGTGCCAGAGAAGGGAGATATTGAAGAGGCTTTGGTTTTCACAAGCATCTCAGAGTGGAGGACGCAGGATGAAGAAAAACCCAAGAAAAGGTCAGCTCTTTCCTCCAGCTTCCACTCCCAATGCCTGTCTATCCATAGACACTATAATACAATCTGATATTTTGTTACCAGATGTTCCTAGAAAATGAAAATTTCCCTGAGACGCAAAGAAGCCAGAGAAGAAATGAAAATAGATATTGATGTCAGGTTAGGCAGAGAGCCCAACCTCTGTTTACGTGTCCAATCAATCAGTTTCAGTCATAGGTTTTAGGAGTGACCTTGCATAGGAGTCCCATTCAGATGGGCTGAGCAAAGTTGACCATGCCCCAGTGGTTCTCTGTAAATCATCGTGCCAGCTGAGAACCAGAGTGATTGGAGAAATGGTAGCAAGCCTGGCATGGCAGTAAAGTGTCTGAGGAAGAAGCGAGGTGGGGGAGGGGAGAGGAAACAAGAGGCTCAGGCTTCAGCCTTGGCCTAGTTCTCCTCCACACCCCAATCCTTTGGCTGCAGGAGGGCCTCTGTAAGCAACTAGAAGGACCAGGAGCATGTTGGCCATCCACTGGGGCCCAGCCTGATCCCTGGATCAGCCAAGGACAGAAAGGACAGAGATTTATGGCTCCACCAGGAGCTATCAAAGGAACTACACCGTGCCCAAGGGGAACTTCTTGAACCCCCCATAGATGTGGGGAAAGGACTCCCAGCAACCAGAAGCCTTGCCGCCCCCTGGCTACATATGCTTTCTAAGCTTGGGCCCACTTTCCCCTGCCCTCTAAATGTACTGGGGGCACAGTGAGTCACAGACCTGGCCAACTGTTGCTATTGTTCCCCCTTTGTAAATATCTCCCCCACCCCAAAATCGGCTAGGGTGCTAGGGGGCACCATGGTGCATAGAGCACCCCAAGCCTGGAGTCAGGAAGACTCATCTTCCTAGTTCAAATGCAGCCTCAGACACCTCCTAGCTGTGTGACCCTGTTGGCCTCAGTTTCCTCACCTGTAAAATTAGCTGGAAAAGGAAATGGCAGGCTACTTCAGGATCTTTGCCAACAAAACCCTAAATGGGGTCATATAGAGTTGGACAAGACTGAAACAACTTAACAACAATAACAAAAAGCTACTTAAAGGGGCAGCTAGGTGGCACAGTGGATAGAGTACCAGCCCTGAAGACAGGAGGACCTGAGTTCATATCCAGCCTCAGACCAAATACTTGACACTTACTAGCTGTGTGACCCTGGGTAAGTCACTTAACCCCAAATGCTTAAAAAAATAAAATAAAATCATTTCTAAAAAAGAAAAGCTACTTAAAGCTGGCTGACTAAAAGGATTTTTATCTTATAATCTTGAGGCAAAGTGGGTGGAAAAAACATACTACTGGGGCCTTGGGTTGGGGCACTAGGGAATCACCCAAATTTTTCAGGAGTGCTCCCTAGAACCCTGAGCAGGGAATATATCCCTTTTTTTGTTTTTTGGTGAGGCAATTGGGGTTAAGTGACTTGCCCAGGGCCATACCATAAATAAGTAGTAAGTGTCAAGTATCTGAGCCTGGATTTGAACTCAGGTCCTCCTGACTCCAAGGTGGAAGCTCTATCCAGTGTGCCACCTAGCTATCCCTAGGGAATATACTATGGCTGTGGATCCTAAAACTCATCTGTGAGAATAAATTGGGATAAAGATAATTAGAGCTCATATGAGCTACATGCATGCACACACACACACACACACACACACACACACACACTATATACATATACATGTGTGTGTATATATATACACAAAGTAGATACAAGGCACCCTTGGAGGGGAAGGTACTAACTGCTTGAGGGATCTAGAAGGACTTCCTTCAGAAAGTGAGGCTTGAGCTGTTTTTAGGAAGTCCAGGGATGCTCAGAGGCAGACGTAAAGAGGGACACATTCCATGCAAGGGGGAAGCCAGTGCCAAGGCATAGAGTCAGGAAGCAGAGTGTCCTTTGGTCACATGCAGTCACATACAACAGCATGTTCACATGTATACCCATAGAGAAACACAGTTAGACCCAACAGCATTCAGCTGACCATAGCAATTGAACAAAACAGTCACTCAATTCATTGGTTGCCCAGCTTTAGGGGATCTCAGGAGGAGATAGAAGACTCATTGATAAATTTCTCTGGTCTTTCTCAGACAATACAGGAAGGTAACCCAACAGGTTCATGGTATCTTTACAAATTTTCTGTAACTGGACTACCTCGTTATGTGGTAAGGCCCAACGCCAGGCCTGAGAGACATTTTGGGCATTCCTGGAGTTTGTGTCAAAGGGATGGCTTCCCAAGCCCTTGCCCTGTGTGATGTTAAGCACCCAGACTTGGAGGCGAGGCAGGAAGGGTAACCCTGCAAATTCATATAGTTTGGAAGTTTGGGTCAGTGGGTCCCGCACCAAGTCCTCATAGCGTATTAGCAGGTAGCGTTCTCGTAGGGAGTCTGGTAACAACTGTGCCGCCTTATAGATCTCCTGTTGGCTTTGGCAGATGTCTTGCATTGTGTGATAGAGCCTGTCCTCACTCTTCATTTTATTTGATTGGTCCACTTCTAGGTTTTGCCGAGAGCGGAACACAGCCCTGGGGTCTCGCACAAGGTGAATGATGTGCAGGTTGAGGGAGGGGTCGGTCAGCAGTGGCTGGAGGGTCATCAGGTTGAAGAAGCGCACCTCCTTGAGCACCACATGACTGTAGGACTTACAGGCTTCTTCTACCATGTTGAAGGGCTGCTTGCCACACAGGATCCTACAGTCAGCTGAGGGGATGATGGCCTCCCTATTAAAGAGATGGCATGCAGGTGGGGAACACAGCGCCCTACTAGTTTCCCACCTGAAGATGCTGGACTGTCTCCTTGGACGCTGGGCCATGTAAGCATTAAAGACAGTCATGTCACAGAGGAAGACTGAACGAATCAGGTCTCGCACGGCCATCTGCAACTGCTCAGCACTGCCTTGGGAGAGGGTCATCCACACATGCCAGGCTGGCTCCATCAGGTAAAAGACATCTGGGTGCTGGCTGAAGAGCTGGCCCACAAAGGAGGAGCCAGAGCGCCACGAGGACAAGATCAACACATGTGTAGGGCTTGACTTCTCTGCTACGTCAGGACGGTGACTGGGGCTGGACAACTGCTGGAAGAAGAGGAAAGCTAGAGATGGGAGCACCAGGAAGACTAACAGCCTTGTTCTGCTTACCCAGAACATTGTGCAGGAAGCAAGTAGGCAGCCTGTTGGGGACAGGAAAAATGAACTGTATGAGACTGCTGGGTATCCAAGTGCTGGTACATCTGCCTTCTAGCCAACCAACCCCAACCTACCTGTTACCAACTCCTACTCTGCCATGGCTCAGCCCAACAATGCCTGAACACATTTCTCCCTCACCACCCTTTCCCCATCACCTCCTATCTCCTACAAGATGTCAAGGAGTCCTGGGACTTAGTTCCTTTGACCTCATCACTTAAACTCATGCAGAGAAGTGAACCCTGACCCCATTTTCCATTCAAATTCTTGATCACTGCTATAACAGTCAGTCAGTCAACTAGCATTTTTCAAGCAGCTGCTATGTGCCAGGCACTATGTGAAGTGCTAGAGATACAAAGAAAGGCAAAAAAGAAAAAAATCCCTGCTCAAGGAGCCCAGAGTCTCATAGGGAAGATAACATGCTCATAAATATGTACAAACAAGATAGTACAGGATAAATTGGGGATAGGGAGAGGATTCTGGGAAGATGGTGGAATAGGGCAGAAAAGTTCCAGGCTCACCAAATTTCCTCCACAGACAAGACAGAGCATCACCTCAAAGTGAACATAGAGGGGCAAAAATAAATAAAAGTCAAGGTAAGGAAGGTGTCCTCCTATGACGGCTTGAGAGGACCTCGGTAAAGACTAGACCTCCAAGGACGGAGGTTTGGCTAGACAGAAGTGCAAACAACTCCACTGAAGCTCAGCATCAGGAAATTTCACCTCACAGTGTGGAGGATGGACAGCTGAGTAGAGGAAGGATCCTCCACTATCTCAGGATGCCAGGGACAGTTGTGCTGACCAGACAGTCCCAGGATTGGCTGTGAGTAGAAGGAGCTAGCACACTCCCAATGAGTGCAGTGCTAGCAGGGTTAGGGGGGTTTCCAGCTGGCTGTGGGAACTTCCAGGAAAATGGAGTCCCTGGTTTCCATTCCAGGGAAGAGAGGAGAGCTGGAGTTTGCAGCTTTGGGAAGGGCCACAGAGAACAAGAGTATTTGTGGGACAGCATGGCTGGGGGCCCTAGCCATGGCTCAGAGGTGGAGAGAACTGCCTGAGGTTGGGTCCCCAGACAGAGTTCAGAAAATAACAGCAAGAAGGACCTGAAGCCTGGGGCACCATTACCCACACCTCAGGACTAGAACCTGATTACAATAATAAGATGCTAAAATAAAATAAAACAAAATAAAAATGAGCAAGCAAAGGAGAAATAACCCAACCATAGACCACTACTATGGGGGTAGAAAAGATCTGACTTCATGTTCAGAGGAAAATAATGAAGTAAAAAAAAGCCATTCCTACCCCGAAGAGAAACATGAAATGGTCACAAGCCCAAAAAGAGTTTTTGGAAGGACTTAAAAAGGACTTCTAAAATCAAATAAGAGAGATTGAAGGAAAACTATGAAAAGAACAACAGCAAACCAAGAAAATTAAGAAAATTATAAAAAGAGAGTGAACCAATTGGAAAAAGAGATCCATGAACTTAAGGAAGAAAATAACTCCTTGTAAAGGAGAATTGGGCAAGGGAAAGTGAATGATATTACAAGACACCACAAAATAATAAAACAAAATCAAAATAATGAAAAAATAGAAGAGAATGTGAAACATCTCATTAGAAAAACAACTGATCTGGAGAACAGGTCGAAGAGAGACAACATAAGAATTGCTGGACTACCTGAAAGTTATGATCAAAAAGAGAACCTTCATACAATATTATAACAAATTATTAAGGAAAATTTTCCTAAAGTTCTACAACAAGAGGGTAAAGTAGAAATAGAAGAAAATCCACCAATCACCACTTGAAAGAGAGCCCAGAAAGAAAAGAAAGAAAACTTACAAGGATATCGTAGTTAACTTTCAAAACTTCCAGCTTAAGGAGAAAATATGACAATCAACAAGGGAAAAAAAAACAATTTAAATATTGCAAAGGTACAGTCAAAATTACAGAAAACCTAGCAGCTTCTACACTAAAAGGCCATAGGCCTTGGAACATTGTATTTTGAAGAGCAAGAGAGCTGAGGTTGCAACCAAAAATAATTTATGCAGTAAAGTTGAGTATAACCCTAAACCCCCCCCTGGAAAAAAAAAAAGACATTTAACAAACTGAAAAACTTTCAGGCATTTGTGATGAAAAGACCAGAACTCAATGGAAATTTTGACATAATAAAATCCAGAAGAAATATAAGGTAAACATTAAGACCAATTATAAGGGACTCAATAAGGTCAAACTGTTTACTTCTTATATATAAAAATGTTATCAGTATTCTTAAGGCTGTCCCTATTACTTGGGTAGTTTGAAAGAAATATTGGGGCTCACCTGAGTATGATGAGATGATTCTAAAAAACAAAACTGGGTAGGAAAATGTAAAAAGGAGTAATTATCTCCTTCAAATGAGGCATGAAAGAAAGAACTGATACAAAGGAAGGCTGGCACCTTACTCTTATCATATCTGGGTTAAAGAAGGAACAATACATACATCTAGAAGAGTATAAAAGTCTTCTAAATTTTTAAACAAATAAGAGGGCGGTAGTGGTTAGAAGTAAACTAGATGTGTGAGGAAGGATAGGGTAAAGAGGCTGAGAAGGACAATAATGAAATAAGATGGAGGGAAATATATAAATGGTAGTTTAAACTTTGAATATGAATAGGATGAACTCACCCATAAAATGGAAAAGGATAAAAAAAATGGATTAAAAATCAGAATGCAGCAATATGTTGTTTATAAGAAACACATTTAAAAATGAGAGATACATGAAGAGTTAAAATAAAGGGCAGGAGTAGAATTTCTCATGCTTCAGCTGATATAGAAAAAGCAGTGGTAGCAATCATGATGTCAGATAAAGTTAAAGCTAAAATAGACTTAATTTTAAAAGATAAACACGAAACTGTGTTATGATAAAAAGTATCAGTACTAAGCCTATATGCACCAAATACTATAGCATTTAAATTTTTAAAAGAAAAGTTAAATGAATTATAGGTGGAAATAGACAATAGTATTATAATAGTGAGGGACTTTAATTCTCGCCTCTTAGAACTAGATAAATCTAACAAAAAAATAAACAAGAAAGAAGTCAAGGAAGTGAATATAATTTTAGATAAGCTGTATATGATAGATATCTGGAGAGAACTGAAAGGGATTAGAAAAGAATATACCTTTATAAACTCTTACCATATATTGGGGCATAAAATTTTTATAATGAAAAACAGAAAAACAGAAGTATTAAGTGCATCCTTTTTAGATCACAATGCAATAAAAATGATATTCAGTAAAGAACCATAGACTATATAATAAACATTAATTGGAGACTAAACAACCTTAAAGAATGAGTAGGTTAGAGAACCAATCAAAGAAACAATCATTTCATTAAAGAGAATGATAATGATGAAACAACATATCAAAACCTATAGGAGGCAGCAAAAGCAGTAATTAGAGGAGAATTATATCTCTAAATGCTTACATCAATAAAATAGAGAAAGAACAAACCAGTGAACTAGATATACAATGTTAAAAAACATATCAAGAACATATTAAAAATCCCCAATTAAATCCTAAAAATTAAAGGTTAAATTAATAAAATTGAACATAAGAAAGCCATTGAATTAATAAGACTAGAAGTTGGTTTTTATTTTTAAAAAACCCATAAACCATTGGTTAATATGATCAAAAAAGAGAGAAGAAAACCAAATCATTAGTATTAAAAATGAAAAGAGTGAACATCCTACTAATGAAAATGAAAACAAAGCAATTACTAGGAGTTATTTTGCTCAATTGTATGCCAATAAATTTAACAATTTAAGCAAAATGACAGAATATTTACAACAATATAAACTGCCTAAATTAGCAGTAGAGGAAATAGAATATCTAAATAGACCTATTTTAGAAAAAGAAATTGAACAGGCTATAAATGAGGTTGTTAAGAAAAAAAGCTTGTACAGAGGGATTTACAAGTGACTTCTACAAACATTTAAAGACCAACTAATTCCAATATTAAATAATTTATTTGGAATAATAGGCAAAGAAGGAGTCCTACCAAGTTCCTTTTATGAAGCAAATATGTACTGATACCTAAACCAGGAAGAGTAAAAAACCAAAAAAGAAAATTATAGACCAATTTCATTAATGTATATGGATGCAAAAATCCCAAATAAAATTCTAGCTAGGAGATTACAGCAATATATTAAAAGATTATACATGGTGACCAAGTGGGATTTATACAAGGAATGCAGGGATGGTTTAACAAAAGGAAAACTATTAATATAATTGATTGTATCAATTTTAAAAAACTAAAATCATATGATTACATCAGTAGAAGCAGAAAAAGCTTTTGAAAAAGTGCAACACTCATTTCTATTAAACAACACTTGAAAGCATATGTATGAAGAGATTTTTCCTTAAATTGATAAAAAAGCATTTATCTAAAACCATCAGCAAGCAATATTTGTGATGGGGATAAGCTAGAAGTAAGATCAGGCATGAAACAAGGATGCCCACTGTCACCAATATTATTCAACAGTGTATTGGAAATCCTAGTGATAGCAATGAGACAAGAAAAAGGAATAGAGGGAATCAGAATAGTCAATGAGTTAATAAAACTGTGACTTTTTTGCAGACAGTATGATGATATACTTGGAAAATCCCAAAGACTCAACTAAAAAACTTAGGTGAAATAATTAATAATTTTAGCAAAGTAACAGGATATAAAGTAAACCCATATAATCATCAGCATTCCTATATATCATCAAGAAAACCCTGCAAGAAGAGATGGTAACAGATACCCCATTTAAAATAGCTTTAGACAGTATAAAACACCTGGGTGCACATCTGCCAAAACAAACCCAGGAACTATACAAACATAGTTATTTTTTAAAAAACTTTTTATTCAAATAAAATCAGATTCAAATAATTGGAGAAATATTAATTGCGCATGAGTAGGTAGGGCCAATATAATAAAACAACAATTTTACCTAAAATAATCTATGTATTCAATGC